TACTAAAATTTCCTTGCCGCATCTTGATACTTAGTTCAAAATTGATTGAATTTAGCCAAAGTATCTGCACAATTACTACATTCACATTAAGGTGGCATTTAGGGGTGTTTGATAAGTGGGTTTTCTTTTACCTTGTTTTCATCTTATGATATTTTCTTGAGAATAAAATGAGAAACTAGAAAGGAAAGAGGAAAACCCAAAATTAAAAGAATTGAAAGGCTAAAAAATTGTATTTTAGGAAAGTGATTTGAATATTTTTTAAATCATTTAAGGAGAAGATAGATATCTGCAATTCCTCTTTTTTAATTTCAATCATTAAGGTGAAAATTTTTGTGGGAAAGAGGAAGAATTAAATAAAGAAGAAAGAGAAAAAAAATAAAAGAAAGGAAAACAAGGTAAATGAAAAGTCAAAATAATGCAAGGGTAATTTTGTCCTAAAGGGGGTTAAGTGAACAAAATTAAAGGTTAGGGGGTAAATTGAGAAATGAGGTATTCTTTAAGGGGATAAAATGTGATTAACCCATAATATAATTACAAAAATTATTTCCCGATGTAATACTTTCTCAAAACTATTCCTCAATTTAATACTAGTGAGTTGCAGACTTGCAGCAGGTGAACAAAAATATAAATTATATTTCAAAAGTTTGTAATTACAAGGACATGTTGACACAACATTTCCTCTACCTTTTTTCTAATTTATTACCTTGTTGTCTAACCTCTGTGCTTTCTAACTTTATCCCACTACAAGTTTTTTCATCTGCTCATTACTCTTGAATATTTCTTGTCCTTCACTTTTGAACATCTCTCACCTTTTTTTGGGGTTATTGTAACTCAAACAAACATTCTCTTCCACCTCTCCATTCTCAATTGGTTATGCTTCTAGCTGAAGTACTAGTACTTGGTAAAATGCATAAGTTATTATCACATAATTACTAATGCGATTATTACACTATTTTATTGTTAAATTACGATATACTCTAGATGATTGCAATAATGGAGAAGTGAGATTTGAGGGATATTAGTTTTGGGAATTTAGCTGAATACAAAGCTTGGTTTGGGTGTGGGAAAAGTTAAATTGTTTCTTATGAAGATTTGCTTAATAAATTTTTTCTAACGAGAAAAATCTCAAATTTTTTGAATAGTTAAATCCAACCAAAGGAGAACGTGAAAAAAAATTGTGAAACATAGGTAAAGGGATAGAAGGTAATGATGGCTTTGGTTTGTGAGGAACAATAATGCGCTAAGTTTTGTGTTTATAGTTTGTCAAATAAACCACAAGGAGCATTAGATTAAGGAATAGTTTTAGAAAGGTGTTATACTGGAAAATAGTTTTGATTATAACATTATTCCAGAAATTCATTCCATATTTCACACCTAACCATACTGATACTTATCGTTTGGAGTTTTTTTTCCCCAAAATAATACTATTTTAAAAACTATTCCCAAAGTGATTCAATTCCAAAATTTATCTCCAATGATGCATTTTTTGAGTTTATTTCCAAAATAATAATTTTTTGGAAAAATATACCCAAACCAATCGAATTTCACATTTTATTGCTTTTCTAATTTTTTATTTACCACGGTGGAAAAAATAAAGCAGGCTCTACTTTCTTTTTCTAATCTTTTATTTGCCAAGGTGGAGAAAATATACTATATTAATTTGATATATGTGACATAAAAAAATGATTATAGAAATGTGTTCAGAAAAAACATAAAAAATTTTCATTAGAAAACTGCAATCCAAACAACCTCTAATAACTTTGAACAAAAGGGAAGCCGTGTTAAGTAAAGAAAGAAGTAACTGCTCCAAGTGTTAAAATCAAACTAGACAATGAGAGGTTGCGTGCAGTGGTACCAGTGCAGTAGTGGTGTTTTGATTATGTCAATTCGCTTTTATGCACAGAATTTGGCAAAGATTTCCGGTGCATTGCTGTACGTTTTGCTTAGTTAGTTGTTATTGCTATATTCCCATGTTTTGGTCTAAAAACATTTTTGAGTAGATATCATGTTGTCATAAAACTTCATCCAACTTCGGATTTGATTTTGAAAAAAGACAAATTACTTTAATACTTTTTGGTCCTTCATTTTTTTTTTCGAAACGATAATTGATTGTATTGATTTAATACTTTTGGTCCTTCAGTGCAAAGCTACATAATTAGTCATTATCTTGGCCACTATGCCATGAGGCATTGATTTAGCGATTAGAGTTTAAAACTATGAGTGCAAGAGATCCTGAGTTGAGTGTCATTATATTTGAATTTTTTATTTCTTCTTCCATTATTTGTAAATTTATTTATATTATTATTTAGTTGTGTATTACTCTGATCATTATATGTTCCTTTAATTTTTGTTAAAGCAAAAAAAAAAAAAAAAAAGGAGCCAATAGGACAAACTATCAAGCCTCTCTTCTAAAGACCAAGGAAGGAAGAGATACTTCCATTGGTAAACTCCGAAAAACTTCACCGCTAAACTCTGTAAAACTTCTTACAATCTCATGGAATCACATTTATCAGGTGCAACTTTTTCCAACAAGCTGTCTAAAAAAAATTGAGAGGAAGGAAAATTATTTGTGCCGGGGATCATTTTTTCAGTTAATTATTTTAGCTTACAAATATGAAATATTATTTAGCCGAAAAATAAGCCTTAAATAGATAATACTTTAATGATTTTATGAAACTATAAAAGTTAAAGTAACTAAAGTAAATATCCTTTATTTAAATGTGAGACCATCAATTGACAAAACCATTTACCCATAGGTTAAGTTAGGTGGAATAGGCGTGATGTTATGGTAGTTTGATTGCCAATTTGAAATGGGAAAAAAAATGAATAACCAAAATACAATGACGACTATATGAAAGTCAAGCGACCTTAATTCACGTTGCCAAAAAGAGAATGCATTGGACCTTAATGAGTAATCAATAAATAATACCCAAAAAAATTTGCTTGGGGATCAAATTATTTTCATGAGTGCCTCAAGAATCCATATAGAAATTGACTTCAACGGCTGTGAAACCATTGGCCAAGTAGTGTCCTTCAGGCAAATGAGCTTGTTTGAATTACTATTTTTTTTTGAAGTTTTTGTAAAAAATTATACCGTAACGATTTGATGTATACGAGAACAAAAAGATGATTCAAAATATAGTCATAGAAAACATATAAATTTTTTGAAGAAAAATTGTAATTCAAATGAACTTTATGTTTTACTTGGACATGAACTATCCTTTCTAGAAAACTTGAACTTGGCAAGGAGCTCGAGCTGGGGAGTATGTGCGGCTGGATTCGGATTCAGATGATGGATTAAAATCCAAGACCCAAATTTGGTGGACTAATCGGAAAAACAGTTAGGGTCTTTATGTATTATAATTAACTTTACAAAACACAGCGATTATGAAAGTAAAGTATAAACAGGATAAGAAAAAGACCTCATTTTTTATTTTTTAAATTCTTTTCTTTCCCTTCATTTGATATATTTCTCAACAATAATATCTCACAAAATAATCTTTCAATTTTCTCTCGCATCATTTAGCAATACTATTCTTGTAATTTTCATCTATTATTTTGAAACTTTTTAGCTGTTAATTGTTAAATATTTTACAATTTTTAAGATGTACAAAGAGCTAGAATTGATTGTAGATTTTAGTTTAAATTTGACTTTTTTATTTTTGCATTGGACTAGCAATAATGCTAGATGATGTTTATACGCAAAGCCAAAGAATTTTTCTTTTGTTTGTTCCCTTATTGTAGAGGGGGAATAGAACAAAGCAAAAGTTGTTTATATGCAAAGCCAAAGAATTTTTCTTTTGCTTGTTCCCTTCGCGTAAACGGGGAATTTTTTTTGTAGAGGTGGAATTAAAAAGGCAAAAGTTGTATCTCTTTGGTAGAGGAGGAAAAAAATAAAGAAAAAGTAGATAACATGTCCTTGTCTTCACATAAATCAGTTTCCATTTGTAGAGGGGGAATTAGAAAAAGTAAAAGTTGTCTTCAGAATCAGGGAATAAAAAGGCAAAAGTTGTCTCTCTATGCTGATAACATGTCCTTATCTTCACATAAATCAGTTTCGAATAACTGCCATCATCAGAAAACACTCTTAACAACACCAATCCTGTTAAAGCTTTCGCTATGTAGAGGAAATTCTTAAATTATTATGAAAAAAAAAAAGTTTTTCTACAACAGAGGCTATTTATGGGGTGATTTCTAAAATTAGGTGGTTCGCATTTGCTGAATGCGAACTAGCTTAGCTCGCATTCAGCAAATGCGAGCTAACAAAAAGCCAGGTAGCATTTTTTTTTTAAATAGACCTCGCATTTGACCTCCTTTGTCTGTCGGTGAAACATGAAAACCCAGCTCCTTCAACCTCAGTCCTCTCTTTGACTCATTTAACCAAAAAACCCAAAGAAACAACAAAATTGGGAAATACAAATTGAAGGGAAATTGCATCCCAAATCCATCATTGAAATCCTCGGAAGTAGCAGCATTCATCAAGAGTGCAGCCGTTGGAGGGAGGGAGTCCAACTCTGGTCATTTTGGAAGCTCTCGCCAGAAAGTTGAAGCCCCGGAAAGCTGCAAAATGGAGACCGGAAAATGTTGAAGCTACAGCCAGCTTTCAGTGAATAAGTTAAGCTTTCTGATGCTATTGTCCAGTGACGGAAGAAGATGCTGAACAGATGCGATTGTCCAGGTAGCATTTAACAGATGCGAGGTAAGTGACCTCGCATTTTTGAAATGCGAGGTCTGGTTTTCTTTTTTCTTTTTTTTTTTTAATTTTGTGGGTCGAAAATTCAAGGGGACTTCGCATTCAGCAAATGCGAACTCCTGAGCTCGCATTTGTTGAATGCGAAGACCCCTTGAACGGAATTGTATACTCAAAATGCCCCCTTTGTAGAAATTTTTTAAAATTCATCATAATTTTAGAAATTTCTCTCGCTATGTAAGAGTAAAACCATCATTTTGTGCTAGTGAATTCCACCCATTACAGAAAATATACATCAATCTCATCCAAAATGGCCGAAGCAATCCTGTCCTCAATCCTATCCTCTGCAGTAGAAAATATAGGTAAATTGCTTATTGAAGAAGGAAACTTTCTACAAGGCGTTCGCGAGCAAGTTACACTCCTTCGTGACGATCTCGAATGGATACAAATGTTCTTAAGATATGCAGATACGAAACAGATTGCAAGGGACGCTATACAACAGTGCGTTCCGAAATTTAGAGCTGTCGCTTATGAAGCAAGTGATTTGGTTGAAGATTATGCTTGGAGGGTTTCAATTTCAAGCAACAAAGGCTTCACAAGTACTCTAAAGAGGATTTCTCGTATCGCCACGGAAGGTTATACCCTTCATGATTTGGGTTTGGAGATTCAAAGTCTCAGAACTAGGATCTCTAATCTCACTAAAAATTTTGGCCGGTATGTAAATTTAATGACCAGAACGGAGGGAGGAGAGTCGAGTGCTCCATCCAGGCAGCAACAATTAAGGCAGACTTACCCCTTTGTGGCTGAGGAGGATGTGGTTGGACTGCGTAATGATGTTGAGAAGCTGGTTGAACATTTGCTGAATGACGGTGAAAGTACAGAGCGCAAAATAAGTGTGGCTTCGATTGTCGGCATGGGAGGTATCGGCAAAACCACTCTTGCTAGAAAGGTATATCACCATGGAAGATCGAAGGATTATTTTAAAGGTTTTGCTTGGGTTTATGTGTCACAACAATGGCAACCAAAAGTTCTCTTCCAACGCATTCTACTCAAGCTTACTCCTGAAAACAGAGAACAGATAATGAAGAGCGAACAAGATGAGCTAGCAGAGCTGCTTCGAGAGCACTTGGGAGCTAGGAGATGTTTGATAGTCCTCGACGACATTTGGTCAACAGATGCTTGGGATAGCCTAAAAGATGCAATCCTAGTTTCGGGGCATGGAACCAAAATTTTGCTCACAACTCGTATTAGAGATGTGACGGTACATGTTGATCCAAATGGTTATCGCCATGAACTGCGTTTTTTGACCGAGGACGAAAGTTGGGAGTTGCTACGAAAGAAATCATTGAGGGAGAGAAGTGGTGAAGGTAAAATTTTCCCCTTTATTCACATTAAATTCATTTTATGTAAAAAGGCCGTGGATATATATATATATAATAATTGAAATACTACAATGGAAACATAATTCCTTTTGCATTGTTACCATTTACTTGAACAACTTTATCTTTTTTTCTTTTAAAATTCACACAATCCAGTAGATTTGAAAGAAAAAAAAAATGTCTCTTAGGATAGCCTTTTTCCAAGACTATTGATAGGTCAAAGTTTTTGGGTTGCAAGACTTGTTCGGTTAAAAGTCCGATAAAGTTTTTGTATAGCTGTTGAATGATAGCCATGATGCTTATTTCACATTATGGAAGATCTACTATGATTGAACCAAGGATTGTATGAGAAATGAATGATGGAAGCGTCATTGTTGATATTAACTTAGTTTTGTTTAATGCCACACAGGTTGTGAAGATTTGGACAAGCTAGAAGAGTTAGGAAAGAAAATGTTGAAATACTGTGGGGGTCTTCCATTGGCCGTGGTGGTTCTAGGTGGAATTCTTAGAACTAAAACAACCCTCAGTGACTGGGATGAAGTGCATAAGAATATCAAATCCTATCTGGATAAGGGAGAAAAAATTGGAAAAGAATGAGAGCTGCCAAAGGTTTTAGCTTACAGTTACTATGACCTCCCTTGGCAACTAAAACCATGCTTCCTTTACTTGGGTAAATTCAGGGAAGATTCCAATATTGGAGCAGAGAGTTTATATCAGATGTGGATAGGAGAAGGTATGATATTTGAGAATGATAAAAGGGAGCAAGAAACAATGATGGATGTTGCAGAGCGTCACTTGAAAGAATTAGCAATAAGATGCATGGTTGAAATTAAAGCATATGAGGAGGGGAAGCATGCAGTAACAGAGTTGAAGTCATGTCGGCTTCATGATCTTATGAGAGATCTGTGCTTAGCCAAGGCAAAAGAGGAGAATTTGTATAAGCTGGTCGATCGAACTCCTTCACGAGATTCTCCTCCTGCAACTGAAGCACAGTATGGTTTAGTCCTTCGTTTGCTTCCAGAGGATATCTCTCAATACAACTTTCTGCCAAAAGAACAAACTAAGCATCTTCGCTCATTCCTGTGTGATCCGTTGGAAGACGAATGGCAATATTTTTCAAGGGTGAGAATAATGTCCCAAGTCAAGAATTTGAAGATGCTCAGGGTTTTGGCAATTTTATCCTTGGATATGGCCTCCCAAAGTTGTTTTCGCAAATCACCTCTGGAGTATGTCGGTAAGCTTATCCATTTGAGATGTTTGAGATTGAGCGGTGAGGGTATAAACTTGCCATATTCCTTGGGCAATTTAAAGTACTTGGAAACACTTGATTTGTCTGATAGTTCTTATTGTAGAATACCGAACGTCCTATGGAAATTGGACCGTTTGAGATATCTTTATCTTCCGAAGTGGAGGAGGGGCCCTCACTGGGCGTGGTGGCTATCTCAGCCTAAGCTGCGGCTGAGCAAGCAGCTGGAGATACTTAAATCATTGGATAACAGATTTAGCTATCCTGAAGGTGTATGTAAATTGCCGAATCTCAGATCTTTCAAAGCAATAGTGTATGAAAATCTTGAGGACCTGGAACACATCATCAATCATATATCAAACTCGGACTGCTTGTGCATTAGCTCGCTCGCAATCACAGACTGCACTTTTGGCAGCAGCAGGAGTTTGGATGTTCTTTCAAGGGTGTTGTTTAGTAGGAATATTCATGAATTATTGATCTGCAATGTTAGGAGTTATAGTTTCTGCAAAAAGTTACCGGATTACCAATCCCACATGTTTCCTGATCCTGCAGGACTTACTCAATTAAGGCTGCACGATATTAGAATTGAGGAAGACCCAATGGTAACACTCGAGAAGCTTCCTAACCTAAGAATACTGGAACTTGGGCCAAGTTCTTTTCTGGGCCAAGAAATGAGCTGCCACTCGATGGGATTTCCCCAACTAAAAGATCTTTGGCTTTGGCGTTTGTGTAATTTACAGCAGTGGACAGTGGAAGGAGGGGCCATACCTAAGCTCTCAAGTTTACGGATTGTGGATTGTCAAAAATTGGAAAAGATTCCAGATGGGTTGAGCTGTTTGACCATCCTAGAAGAGGTATCGCTAGTGGACATGCCTGAAGAATTCAATAACAGAGTTAGGATAGAGAATGGACATCAAGGAGAAGATTATGGTAAAATAAGCCACGTGCCTTCAGTTAAAATTCACAGGTACTCTTTTTCTCCTTTTACTTTTTTCTCCTCCAATTTTTCTCTTTTTAATATTCAATTTAAGGTTCTTGGTATTCCCTTTTTCTTAGCATCTAGTTCCAATCTCAATTTTGATAAGCTTCACCAACATCTTTCAATATTTTCTTTTGTCTTTTTAATGACTATTGTTTTTTTTAATCCTTTTTTTCCTCTTCGGAAGAAATGGGATCATAGTACTTGCTCTGTGAGATTCTTTTTAGTTTTATCTTCCAAATATTTATTTTTGTTTATCTGAGACATCATCTAATCTAATTCCTGTTCCGTGACTGATTAAGGAATTTGGTGATGTGGAAGTAAGTTTATATTTGAAAGCATTGCCTTCCATATTGAAAGGTGAAATCAAAATATTTTACTTATTTCCTCATGTTTGGAAATGGGTTGACATACTCTCTCATAAATTAAATTTAATAGATCAGTACGTGTTACCGTCATATCATGTACTCATAAAAAAAATGTTGCATGGCTTAAAAAATGTCTAATAACTATTTAAACTATTTGTGCTTCCCATGTAACTGTTTTAGATTACCATATTTATTTAATCAAATATCTTGGATTAAACTTAAAATTTGTTTAGGATTTGGTGATAAAGAATCGTCATGTTGGATTATAAATTTTGGCATAACAAGATTGCAAGTTGGTTAGATCTTCTTGTGTAGCGAGCATCTTTACTTAGCTATTAGGGAAAGATACGAATTTGTTATTTGATCCTTCACTTTAGTGTTTGGTTAATGTGTGATTATTTTTAGCTTTTGGTTTGGTTAGTCTCACTTTGTTTAGCTGCTCAAACTTTTCTTGTGCTCACAAGCTGTTTGCATAGAGCTGGATTCGGTGCAAGATTCACCAATATAGTTGGAGGAGGGCATCTATGTTCTTGTGTGCTTAAGAAGAGAGGGTTAAATTAATAAGGAAACTTTCCCAATTCCCTTAACTTTTTTATTGACCTTAATTAAAAATAAGAAACATCCTTGGGTTGGCCAAACGGAAACCTAATTGTGTTCGAACATTGAATTTCCATGATTTAGACACCGCCACATTGTTCTCTAGTATTTTAAGAAACATTACCATAAACAATCTAAAGTATTTCCAGCTCTTTACTTTCCCTAATAAGATCCATCATTCTCCCAAAAAAGAGCAATTCTATCACAACCCAATGCAAGTTTCTTGATTCCATCCCTTTTTCTGCAATTCACAGCTTTTACTCGTACTGAATTTGAAATCTATCAATAATTTTCAATAAAGGACAACAAACAACTACATGCATGTAGACAAATAAAATCAAATCAGTTTGTTTGTTTTTATGCTTTTTTCCTGTATCAATAAATGACTTTCGTTCCTTGTTTTTCATTGTGCTTAAATTTTATTTTATTTTTTTAAACTTCCTATGCAGTTAGATTTTTTTTTTTAACTTAATCTTTTCTCTTTTTTTTTTTAATTTTAATCTTTCTAGCACCTTTTTTTTTTGTTTTTGTTTAAAGCTTCTCTCTCTCTCTCTCTCTCTCTCTACATATAAATAACACTTTCTATATCCCCCATCACCCTCCCCTTTAGCCCTTCCCTCTTGATTTAACTGATAGTCAATGTTTCAGAAAAATACCCAAATTGGGACGTTTGAGATATCTTTTATCTCTTGAGCTCTTTCTCTAGCCCTAACATATGGTAAGATGGGTTGGGCAAGCAGTTGGAGATACTCGACTTATTTGATACCAAGTCTTACAAACCTAGAGACTTATCCAAAATTGATGAATCTTAGGTCTTTCAAAGGAACAGTGTATCACAATCTCGAGGATCTCAAACAAATCGCCAACTACAAATATGACGTGGACTATCTATTCAAATTAAAAACTTGTAATTATTCCCAACTATAAGTATATGGGTCATTAAATTAGTATAGCGTAAATTATGGTCGATCCACAAGTAACAATAACAATTACTGAGGCTTATCACTCAGTCTATTGCCTAAACAATCTCAAATTAGAGTAAAGTGCAACTACAACAATGAACTAGTAAAGGCTACAAGTAATGATAAGACAAGTGAGAAACAATAAGAAGATAGTCCCAGGTTATTTACTTACTTAAATGCTCATAACTAGGATGTGATTCGGTTGATTGAAACTATTAATCTTGTCTTGACAAGGATATAATTTCCTAAGACATTTGAATATTGCTTTCGCTAATGACAAGTATACATATACCTAGTCTTCACCTACTTTCGTGGTTGAACAACTAAGCATAAGTTTATGAAAACAATGAGATTACACCAATTAAATCCAACTAAATATATCTCTACTTTCACAATCTATAATTTAGGGCTTATGAATTCTGATCAAGCAATAGGATAGATGGTTTGTCATTGGTGGTCAAGCAACTATAAACATAAAAACATGGAATACATGAACTAGCAAGTACATGAGATAGCAACAACCAATCACAATTTATCCACGGTTAAAAATCAAAGAAGTTCATCAAAAATATTGCATGGCATAAAAAATGCCTATCAACTGTGTAAACTATTTGTGCTTCCCATGTAGTAATTGATTTAGATTGCCATCCCTATTCAATCACATATCTAGGATTAAACTTAAAATCTGTTTAGAATTCGGTAATAAAGAAGGATCATGTTGCCTTCAAGTCTTATTGATATCAAAACCAACAATAAGAACTCGTGTTAATTCAATCAAGACTATTTATTTTAAGTACAAATAGTTTAATTCAATAAGACTATTTACTTTAAATAGTTGCCCGATTTTTTTTTCATAATTTGTTTCTTTATTAATGTGTCATGAAATCAAGGTTTATGTCAAGAAAGTTAATATTGTTTTTAAAATAATTTTTTTGTGAGGTTATTATTTATTAAGATAGTAGTTTTTGGGGAGGGATGGGTTGGAGGGTTTTGTGGAAAGGAGTGTAAGTGAACAGATATGAATAATTCTAAAAGCAAAAGCAAGAGAATTAACAGCCAAACAGATTGTGTACATATAGCAGAGTATAATACAACTTTATGCAGAGTAAAGTTTTATACAAGGTATAATATAAAGATAAAGAGATAATTAAACCTCTTGATGTAGGAATATGATCTGTAAAGAAAGTTTTATGCAAGGTATAATATACCAGAAAGCTAAAGTATTCTTTGCATAGTGCCACTTGAAGATGAAGGCACAGAAATAATACGACATATAAACTACTATCCAGAAACATGAAGGGTTATCATTTGCAAAAACAGGCTACCATAAATGAACGAGCAAAAATTTGTTGGCAAAAAGGCGTGTTAACTATGAAAATAATTATTCAAAGCAAAAAATAGAGTTAAGAAAAGAAATTAATATGCTAGCATATTGAAACATGATTCACAAAATGCTTGTCTAAGTTTTTAAATGATGAAAGAATAAAAAGTTTAAAATTTCCACAAAATATTTAAATGCCCATAAAATTTTTTGCATAAGTTAATGCAAACAGCCTCACTATGATTAATGAATACATTAGGCCAAAAATATTAGAAATAAAAACAGGAAATATCTTTATTACCTGCAAGTACAACCAGAAAAAATAAATGGATAAAAATAGAAAATTGATTAAAAGTTTAAAGTTGGTCTGCATGCATGTATGCTTCCAAAGAGATTTAGCTATTGTATACATTTATTTGTGTAGATATAAGTATAATCCTCTGAAACAGCATGCATGCGTGTATATATATATATGTATATTAGCAATGTAGTGAAGTTAAAAATAAAAAAAGAAAGGATTGAAAGAAGATTTCAGTTAGCAATGTGCTAAAGCTACATGATCATCAAAGAAGGCAAAACGTGAAAATAAATACATGAGTACAAGGAAAGCATTAAAGACTTAACATGAAACAGATAAATGAGCACTAAAATCAAGAGGGTGAAGGATGACTAACCAGGGAGGAAAAAACCAGAGGACTAAATTGGTTAGAGTGAGAGCAATAAAGATGGAGGAAAGGTTTTTTATGAGGTACATAAAAAAATAGTAATGAAATTCGTTTGGCATAAATGCATTAGCTAGGAATCTAATTGGAGACATGAACCAAAAAAAATATTAATAGGATGTAAGGAAAATTAGCGAACCAAACTCATCTGGGAAATTGGTGCAAAGCACATTTAAAATGGGTACATAGTCATTATTGTATAATATAAACCAAGGCCCAAATGAATGTTACATAAACAAAGTAAGGGTTAAATTGTTCATAAAGCATTAAATGTAGCACCAATTTTGGAAGCTCTCTGTAGAAAGGTTATTTACAAGGAGAAAAAAATAAAAATAACCACAGTATGATCAGTTAATTGCTAAAAACCTAGCAGAACATGCATGGAGAATATGGGGCAAAACTAAAATAAACAGCAGTTCAAATGGCTATTGCAAATCAATTTGTTTTTCAAGCAAATAAGTTGCTGCAGAGGTACATGAATCAGTCAAATTTTCCCTTGGCTGTGCCACGAAAACAATGAATTGAAAATAGAAAGCCCTCTCTCTCTGTTTGGCTTTTTCACCTGAAGGAAATGCATCTACTGGTTTCTACTCAATTCTCTTATCCACTGAATCACTGCAAGGGATGGCACAAGTCCCAGAAGTAATTCACCTCTACGCTCCGCAAAACTTCTTCTAAATTTCATGGAATCACACTTTTCAATTTGCAACTTTTCCCTACTCGCCGTCAACAAGAAAAGTTGCAGAGATAATGAAAATAACTTTGTGACTCATAGTCATAGCTATGCTCATAGCTACTCACTTCATCCCATTGAAGAGGAAATTTTCATGGATTTTTGCGTGTAATTTGCTCACAAGTATCGTGACAAGTCGTCTGTTTAATGGTGTTTGGATTGCAATTTTCTACCAAAATATTTTTACATTTGTCTTGACACATTTTCTAATCACTTTTTACCTCAAATCATTACAATGCAATATTCTGTAAAAACTTTAAAAAATAATAATCCAAATGGGATTTTAACTTCTAACTTCGCAGTTTCACAGTTGACCCGGACCCTATCTTCTATGCAAAGTAGTATACAAATATTAATTTAGGTGAAAAATACACGTTTGAAGTAGATAATTAGGTGATAGAATTTAGTGTCAAATTATTTGGGCATAATCAACTAGCTAAAATTCCCTGTACAAAAATATGGAACCTCAATTGACTAAACCAATTTGTGAATTTAAATTAGATCAGATGAAATTCCGGATAAACTTTACTAGAAAGAGAATGACCAAAGAAAAGAGGAGGGGGATGGGTTTTAGTAATTGATTACTGAAGTGACTTTGAGGCTGATGTGCTTGGGAAGATCTGTCCGGCCAAAGTCGGGTTCGAATTATGTAGCCAATCCAAGACCCAATTTAGGGGAACAAGCCATAAAGACAATTACTAAAAGATTTTCAGAACTTTTACTATATATATATACATCCATCTTCAATTGATTGTTGTTTTGAGTTTTAATATTATTAGTATTATTTTTTGGAGTTGGAAATTTGAAAGGGATCAACTAGGTAAGGCCTAGCAATAAAGTCAAATGATCTTTTCTCTTCTCCCTTCTCTGTTTTTAGAAAAAGCCAAGAAAGTTAGATATCTCTACAGTAAACATTTTATGTTTCTGAAAAAATTCTATGGTAGACTTAAGATAAAAGAGCTGCCGCTCTAGCTAAAAATTTTCAAGAAATTCTATTGGGACTAAATGCAGCCAAAGAACGACTTAAATTCTTATTACTTTGAGCAGAAAAACAATCTGGTTTTGGATTAATTGCTGGCTAATTAACTAGGTAATAAATTCTGTTATCATGACAAAAAAAAAGGTTTTAGCTGAAAATTGTCCCACTATGGTCCCTATGCTATAGGTATAGTTGGGCGGCATATAAATAATCGGTTTGGCAAATGAGTTTTTTGATTGTTTATTTAAAATTTTGCTGTAATTTACTATAAAAGTTATAGAAAAAATATTTAAGATAGAAAACTCTTTTCTTTTCTTTTTTCTTTTTTTCTTTCTCTCTTTCTTTTTCTTTTTCTTTTTTCTATTTCCTTCTTTCTTTTTTCTTTTCTTTCCTCTCTTCTTCTTCTCCCTTCCCTCTTTCCCTCTCTTTCCCCCTCTCCCTCTCCCTCCCCCTGTCACAAGTTGCAACAGCAACAACAATTTTTTTTTTTTACATTTTTCTCTCTCCCCCTCTTCCCCTTCTCCCTTTCCCTCTATCCCTCCCACCAAAGGCAACAGCAGAATTTATTTATTTTTTTGCTTTTTACTCTCTCCCTCTCCCTCCCTTTCTCTCCTCCCCCCTTCCCCTCTTCCCTGCCATCTCTTTTCCCCCTTCTCCCTTCCTCACCACCGTCCCCCTCCCCCTCCCCCCTACACAAACCGCGAGACCAAATCTGGTCGTGCAATCTGGCAGTGCGACTAGATCTGGTCACACAGCCAGATTGCACGGGGGAAGGGGATATTGCTCGACCAGATTTGGTCACACGATCTACGCAGGGGGGAGGGGGAGAGAGGTGGCAGGGAAGAGGGGAGAAGAGGAGAAGAAGGAGGAAGGAGAAGAGAAAAAAAAAACTTATCTCTATCAACGCCGAAAGAGATGGCCAGCGTCGAAAGAGGTGGTCGGCGCCAAAAGTGGTAGTGAGTTGATGTGGGAAAGGGGAAAAAAAAAGAAGAGAAGCAAGGAATTTTTTTTTTGTATTTTGGATATTTTGAAGTGTATAATTTAAAATTTTTGAGAAATTTGTTGAAATTGCTATAGCTAAAGTTATTAAAACACTGGTAGGAGACAACCTTAGCTAAAAACTTATTTGCCAAACAGGCGATTTAGTCCATGAATTGAACAATCAAAATTGTCCCAATCCATGAAAAATGTGGAGCCGTTCCCTAAGCAACAAGTAACTTTAAGGGTATTATTTTCAATTGCAAGGTGTGAACAATAGCGGAGCGAATATCATGTTTCAACATGATAACACACTATTTGATGCACATTTTTGTTGCATGTATCATTAAATCTAATTTTGTGAGTTTAGTTGCAATAAGATCATTCTACTTATTTGAAACTTAGGTTGTGTTTGGATTGCATTTTTCTAGATCTTTTGTAGAAAAATTACTGTAGCGATTTGATGTATGTGAGGTAAAAAGGTGATAGGGAAATGTGTTCAAGGAAAATGTAGTAATTTTTCGGCAGAAAATGGCTGTCCTATAGTGAAACAACTATACTTGTAACCAAGCCATACCTACTCTCGTGGCTATGAAATCAATCACAAGTTCATTTCTTCTATGAGATTATACGGAACAAATCACTAAAGCCACAAAGATGCACTGCTACTCTCGTGAGTGAGCTCTCTAGGTTTAATATTTCTTTGAACTAGTGTCAAATCCCAATTCTTATTACAAACTTAACACCTTAAGATTCTCACAATTAATGGCTAGTTAATAATGATTAGAAAGGCAAAAGTGCTAAATAACTTGCTCAAAATAATATCATTAAATAACCAAATAAATCTCATTAATAAGATATAGAAAGTTTATCCATAACTTTAGGCATAAACTTTAGTAAAACATGAAGAAAATGAAAGAATAGACCATACTTGTATTGTAGCTACATAACTCAAATACAAAATAGAAAGTGATAGGAAAGTAGTCACCCTTGTCATATGAGTTCCAGACTCTCCATCTTGTTCCTTAATTCTTCATTCAAATCTAGCTACAAATACAAGAAGAATAAAGTACACTAACTATAATATACCTATAAACTAAGAAAAATTAGTGAAAACTATATTTTTGATAGTATCTCTAGCCTTCCAAAGTTATCAAAATAAGCTCTCCAAGGGCCCCTATTCATAGAGAATTCAAGCTCAAAATGATTTACTTCTAGTTGGTAATTTTGTCTCTTAAAATCATCAAAAGTTGCTTCTTGGAGTTTCTATGCTTACTTGCTCATATCTAGTCAGAATTCTTGCAGACAAATTGGTCAAAAAGCTTGTGTGAACAGAGTACAAGTTATAGAGCAAGTTGTAGCCACAATTGAAGGAAACGTGACCTATGAAAACACCGGCATGAGGTCGTGTATGACGCAACGTTTTGCTTCTTTTGCAGGTTTTCTTAATTTTGGTCAGCCTTCAATTTTGCTCTATTTTTGCACCAATTTCCATTGATATTTTCTCGATGATGAAGGCTGAACTAGATCTTATGCAAAACATGAAAGTTTTAGGCCTTTGAGTTAGATTTCCAAAGCTTCAAAAATCATCCAATTTGAAACTTTGTATACTAAGCAATGACCAAAATACCCTTAACTGGTCAACTCCCTGTTTCAGCTTTTGATAACAAAAATGACCGACTGTATTTTGACATTTTGATTAAGAAAATGCATGAACTGGATTTCAATGTCTCATACGAAATATGGAGCTATGTGTTGGCTTCAAAATGGCTAAGAATCACCTCAATCCGATACTTATAGCTCAAGATATAGCCGAAATATCAAAAGATGTCAAAACTGTCAAACTTTTCTTCTTGTATACTTGATTGCATTTCATCTCTTGAGTATTTTGCACTTCATATCATCTTTAAAACCTTTAAATCATCAATAATCATCCAATCATCTTCTCAAATCACGTATTTGATGATTAAATCATTAAACCTACAAAAACATGTAGTTTTCACTATTTTAAACACATAGAAATATAATTTTTCACACCTAAACCATAAAATGTGTAACTCACTAGAAACCTAATTAATTAGCTATAAAAATAACTAAAACACACCAAAACTAAATGATAAAACACACTTAAAATACTCAAAATACACACTTATCAGAACTATAAAAAGGTCATTTTACATATTTGGGGGAGGGGGGAAGGGGGAGGGCAAGTATAATATAATTTAAAATCTTCTAAATTTTCCTAATGCTGTTGTGATTTTACCGAAGTTGAGGTAGTGCAATTACCCACCTTCAACTGTGTATGGCTTCGCTGGGTGTGAAAGCTTGGAGTAGTGGCACAAATATTATCCCTATGGATTACCTATTTACCTTTATCTAAAATTTTATAACCTCATAAATTCATCCGATTGTGTCATTAATTTTCTCTTGATCTCTAGATTAACATGCTAAAAATGGTACTCTTTTTGTGAATACTTTGGCATTCAATTTTCATGAAACATTTGAACAATGAAAAATGACTCAAAATTGTAACAAATTGTTAATTATTAATCAGAGGGTAAAACTTAGTCAATTTCACATGATATTTTATGTACAACTAATACAACTGATAAAATATACTATGAATGGTGTTGATTTTGGAAAATAATTTTTAAATTAATTTTATTGGAGTATGATGAAGAGAAATTCTCTCCAACAATAAGAGCACATGTTAATTCCTTCAAGGCTATTTAGTTTTTTTTTTTGAGCCAACATTGTTCAGTTTAATTCTTAGTACAACATAACATGACACATTTGTGAAAGGCAAACACTTAGTTAGATTCAGTCTTCGTAGATCTAGTAGTTCAAAATTTGTCACACCATCTCATTAATTCAACTATCAAAGATGTGGCAAATTTGGGCATCAAACCTACAAGACCAGATTTACCCAAATTTTTGCTTTTATCAAGTGGTTATACACTTTGATTCCATTCTCACTTCCGTTATCCCCAGTACTGGATATCTATTCTTGAAAAGCATGGGTCGGTTTGGAAAAAAAAATTTCAAATATTACTCTGCTTGCATTATAAACATAATCTTCAATCACCTTTTTTTATCTCAAACATATCATATCACAAGAAATATTACAATATTTGGTTAAATAATTTTTACAAATAATCTCCTATCCAAATACACCCATACATCCTAAAACCTTTTTGTATGCGTATTATGTTCTTTTTTAAATCTTACTTTGTTCTCTTCTTTTTTTTCTTCTTTTTTTGGGTCTTTTTCTTTTTTTTCCCCTTCAGGCTTTTTATTTGTGACTCTTAATATGAACTTAATGTTCACACTTGTTTTGCACAAATGGAATGCTATTGAAAGAGTATCCATCCACAATACAGAGAGATACCCTGATGGATTAATTGGGATGAATGCTAATGTTATAGTGACTATTGTAATTTGCAGGATTGTTGGGGTTGAATGGAATTTCATTTTCTTCTTTTCATGTGGTTTGATTTTTGACAACATTTGTGCCATTTTGCATGTGGTATCTTACTTCATGCTGCAATTGTTGTGGTAGCATAATGAATTGAATTTTTGATTACGCTATTCTTCCTCTTGTCATTTGCAAATTACTGGCGGAGACAATTCTTGTCTTGGCCGAGTACCTAGGCATCAAGGATGATGGAAATAAAAAGAGAGAGTGACGTAGCTGGCTTGTAAGAAAAAATTTCCAGCCTTGTTTTAATATAATCATTTTCTTTCATAGAAATGCTTACTGTAGCACTTTGTTCAACACATGAATTAGATTGTAGCACTTTGATAAATGCTGTAACACTCATGTTCAACACGTGAACCAGACTTTACTACGGCCTGACAAGCTTTTGGGTTTAGGATACGGTTTAAGGCCTTCAATAGATCAACTCTTCTGTAGTATGGTATATTAGGGCCATCTTATAGCATGAAAAAACCTATTAAGTCATGTGCGGCTTTTGGGCTTAAGGGCCTCAAAAGTGCATAGTTTGATCTCAACTAATCAAAAGTTGTTCCGTTTGGATTGTTATTTTAAAAAAAATTTATAAAAAAAATTGTTATTTTAAAAAAATTTTATAAAAAAAATATATTATATCGATATGACATATGTGAAAAATAAAAGTGATAAAAATATGTATTAATAAAAAAGACAAAAAATTTTCATTAGAAAACTACAATCCACATACCATCTTAACTTTGAACAAAAAGGAAGCCGTGTTAGATATAGAAAGGAGTAACTGTTCTAAGTGTTAAAATCAAACAAGACACTGAGAGGCTGTGTGTTGCAGTACTACTGCTCAAGAAACTTGTTGGATTCTTTATTACTTCCTTGTCAATTCTCCATATGCCTAATTGAATTAGTAGGGTTTTGGATGTCAATTCGCTTTTATGCATCGAATTTGGCAAAGATTTCTCAGTGCATTGCTGTACATTTTGTTTAATTAGTTGTTATTGCTGCATTCCCCTTCCCCTGGCCCCGCCCCACCCCTGGACACCTGCCCCCATTGCCAACCGCCAGTACTACACTGCTAAACTCCAAAAAAAACCTTCTTACAGATGTCATGGAATCATGCCTTATCAGTTGCAGCTTTTTCCAACGAGCTGTCTAACTCTAAAAGAAAACTAGAATAACTTAATTGAACGTATAACAATAAAACTTTTTGGTACATAATAGACAAAAACACGAAAAAAATTAAGCATCAGAAGAAATTCCATCTATGAAGTTAATTCTTCTAAATCAAGGAGACAATAAACATAGCATCTATTAAATCTATCACTAATCTTGAGATTAATGAACAAGTGCATAGTTGAATACAATTGAAATCTGATTTTTTCTGTGCAACATTGAGAAATGATTTATAAAGAAATAGAAAAAGAGACTTTAATCGACTACATAAAAGATTTGTTTAAATGTAATAGTTTGTTAGCTATTAATCAAACATAATTAACCAATATCCAATGATTAAATTTTTTTTTCATTAATCTATAAAGCCTGATCCTATAGTCATAAATTAGACAATATATAAAAACAGTAGAAGTTCTTGTAGTTATGCAACATGACTTGCAATTGAAATCTTTTGTCTTATCCTGTATGGTACATCTTTTGTCTTGCTCCATCAAGATAGAAGTAGGGAAATAAAAAATGGGAGAAAAATCATAGATTTCTCAAAAGAGAGTTACATCAGATGTCAATAAATGAGAGTGCTACATTAAATTCCCATGTCTCTTATATAATAGGTATTCAATTAGAACGAATGAAAATTGATCCAAGGGTTGTAATGTAGTATTATTGTATTAAAACTAATCTAACGGTCATGAATTAAACAATAGACTCACTTAGTCAAATAATTAAGGTTAAAAAAATTCTTTGGGCTCAAAAGAAGAATAAAGGAGCCAAACTTGCTCAGTTTGGCATGAAAAAAAAGAAAAAAAAAAAAAAAAAAAAAAAAAAAAAAAAAAAAAAGGGGATATGCAAGAGGCAAGAAAACCATATGCAAGAAAAATTTTAGACTTATGCCACTTGTCAAATTATTGAAAAGTCAAGTGACAACAAGAGAGGCAAATAACTAAACCTCCTTTCTTTTTTATATACAAGGTAGATGTTGCAAAGAAAAGTTGCATTATTACCGTAATACCGCACCGCATGGGGACGGAATGAGCTGGCCAGAACCGTGTGGGGCCTAACAACAATAATGCAACTGAAGAAATTTCAAAAGGCTTTGTACATGAAGAAATTCAATAGCATACAAAACAAAAAGGTTTCACACTTCAGAGTTATAAAAGCTATTTACCTATCGATTAAATTAGATGGAATAGGGGCGATGTCATGGTAGTTTTTAATTATCAATTTGAAATGAAAAAAAAAAAACTAATGACCAAAATATAATGACGAGAATATGAAAGTCAAGCGGCTTTAATTCACGTTGCCAAAAAGAGAACACACCGGACAATAAATAATATTTCCTTCGTCCCATTGAAAATATCATACTTTTCGGGTCTGTTTGGTTGGAAGTAAAATGTTTTTCTTGGGAAAATATTTTCCGTGGAAGTAATTTTCCATGAAAATCATTTCCCTTTCATCATTTTCAGGTGTTTGGTTAGCTTATTGAAAATATTTTCTTACTTCATTTTTCTGGTGTTTGTTTAACTTTTGAAATATTTTCACTTTTATCTCTATCTTTACTTTATACACATTATAACTACATACTTCTTCCCATGCAAAATAAGAAAATTTATTTCATTGTTTAACTTTAAAAATCTTTGAGAAATGTATATATGAATAAAAAATATCTCTTTAAGCAATAAACAAATTGCTGGCCATTTAGTGTCAAATATCAATCACATACAATGCTTATTGTGACATATATCTTGCACTCTCACTGCTGAAAGTTTTTCTAGAAAAGAATGTCCCTATTATACATAATTAATTACTAGCATATGATGAGCAAGATGAGGTTTTTTTTTATTTTGAATATACTAGGGGGAGGGTTGGGTTGGGTTGGGTGGTACGGGGGAGGGAGTGTAAGGAAGAGATCTTGGGTTCGAATCCTCCTGTTTACACTAAAAAAAAAAGAGCATACTATAAGATGTTTTCAGTAAGTTTGGAACATACTACAGGCGGGATGCATGCATTTCGGAAAACAACTTCAGTAAGTTTAGAAGGGAAGTTGTTTTCCATAAGATGAGTAAAAATATTTTACATAGGAAAATGTTTTCAGTAACTTTTGTGCAACCAAACACGGGAAATTA